ACCGTCAAGTAGTTCACCGACTCGTCGCGCAGCGGCTTTGCGGCCGCGCCGCATCAGCACCCAGCCGAGCCTCAGTCGTGAAAGCTTCGGTTGGGAACACTTCGACGTCACGGCCGGTCACCGCTTCGTGGCACTTCCAAATCTCTGGTGACGAGATACTAAAATTTTGAGCAAAACATCCGTCTAAAATCGAAAATGCGTTGAGGACTGAGATCCGCACCCGCTCAGTGCCAAAGGCGCAAATTCGTCAGGGCCTAGTCGTTCGGCTGTGGCATCTGCACGGCGCCGCAGCCTTGTCCGAACCCAGAGATTTTGACCAACCGCTGTGATGAAAATGCGGAAATTCAGAAACCAACAAGATGCGAATTTCCGAATTCCACGCTTTCTATATGGCATCTTCTTGACTGCATGACGACTGGCTTTTGCGCAGTCACTTCCGACCACCAGATATTGCAAGAAGCACAACGCAACAGGAGTCACACCACACCACAGCCATCCCTTGAAATCCACAAAGGAGCGTTGTTCGGGATCCATTTCTGATACAAACCATGGCTGACGTCACATGCTTCGAAGGGTTCGAACAATCCAATGCGCAACATTCGCACGGGATGATGAATTTAGATGAATTTCGATCAACAAATGAAGCATTTTTGCATACAATGTTGCGCCTTCCCGGCGTTACCTTTTGTACTTTGAGGTCAAAGGAGAAGTGGTCCGCAAACGTGTCATGGAATGAGATGACTGTGACTATATAGACATTGTGGAAGAAGTAAAGGCAAGATAGATGAGAGCAAGATAGCATCTGAGACAACCCGCCATATTGAAAAACAGTTGTTGGTTCTGGTCCAAATCTCAACCAAACCTCACTCAAGGGGTAGAAACTTTTGAATCCATGGGCCAGGCGATCTAGAAGTGTTGACGACGGCCAAAACTGTTTGGAGTGCATGACATGCATGGGGAATAAGTCGCGCATCTGAACCCAAACCACGCAAAGCTGGAATACAAGGGCTGGAGTTGGCAATGGGTCTGTTAGGGAACCCGGAGCTAATCAGAGTGCACGTGAGCACGTGCGTGTTTGTCTTCTCTCGTAATTTCATACGGAAGGCAAAACTTTGATTGGGGCAGGCTTGCATCATGTCCTGATATGTATAGCCAGCTTTCTGCCCCCGATTCCCAGTCATAACGCGCAAAAGACATTCCGACAAAAGCGGATTTCATATTGGGAAGCGAGACAAAAGAGCGTGAACCTAGCCCGTAGGTGCAGAAGGAATACAAATAGAAGGAAGGCACCAGTGCGGGCCTCGGATTTAAAAGCTCATCGAGCGCATTCAAAGGCAAAAAATGTCAACCACCTGCCACCTGCATCATTTTTTTAGCCAAGTTCGAACACGTTCCACCTAAGTCATTGATGTGGCAAGCCACAGCCCGGCTCCACCTCTGAAAGCATCACTGCGCTGGCGTGGCCCACTTCCTCCTCTTGTTCATCCCTGATCACCAGGCACTGCCTTTCTGGCTGCCCGGGTTCGGACTTGAAAGCAATGTCTAAATCATGGCACTGTCAATGGCTTTCACGCAGGGGACACAAAAGTCCAAAGAAGTGTCTCGGTCACAAGCAAACAAAGCACTTGAGCGCCCTCCTGTGCACGACTGCAGACACAAATGCTCACGACGTGTTGTCAGTTGTGATACAGCAGCTGCAAAATAGAGAGCACGCATGCACGACTGAACTTGCCTTGTCTCCACCAAGCATTGGCCTTCGGACCCAAAGAGGCCTTCGGATGCTCAAGGCAATTTGATTGTGGGCAAGGAGAGCCGTCAAAAAGACACATGGCATAACATGAGTGCAACACGAAGACTTCAACGGCTTTCTTGCTTGGAGCAGTGATGTTCCGAAATCCAAGCTGGGTCCTGTAGTGGAACAGGCACTAAGCTTCGCCACTGTCACCAGATTGGGTAAGGTCCAGGGCATCCTGCCACACCTAGCCGAAGCTGCTGCTGGGGGCCGGAAAGAGTCTGCAATCACTACAAAAGCGCTTCCTACGTGACAAACACGAAACGCAAGAAGACCCGCTTTTAGCACAAAATGGCCATGCGCTGTAAAAAGACGCTGTGGTTTGAGTACTATTTTCTAAGAGGGGTTTTGAGATGCGGTGGTGACTTTCCAGGAGTACTTCGACGAGACCCAGCGGTTGGAGTACCACATTGAGAATAACACCGTGCCCCACATCTATGACGCCATGCAGGCGACACACCACCGAGAACTGGACAACTACCAGGACCCAGCACTAAGAGTGGGCGGTGCTGGCTCAATGTCTTCGACGCTTTGCCAAACGGGAGATTCAGGAGAAGAATTGCTGCACGAGATGTTCACACACCCTTGGCGGCATTTTGGAGCCTGATCATGAACCTGGAGCTGCTGCTGGCGATTGAGCCGGATTTCTTTTCACCATTTTCCACACCTTTTCACCGGTGTGATTTGAGTGCTACTCAAATGAGTTAGCCCCATGTGTTTTGGGTTGGCCATTACCATTTTGCCATCCCCATTGCCCATTCTGGGCTCAATGCCCATTGTAAGGGCGCACGTTGTGCCTGGGACCCCAATAGGCGCTTGAGCCTGACTACGCTGCCCCGCGGCCCAGACCAAAAAGGCTGCATCCGCTTCACCATTCTGTACTTGACTTCGCGTGACAGCTTGGAGATTCGAGTTCTACAGCTACCGAATCAACATTGGTAGCGGGGCCGGCATCCTGCTGGCATCCGCCGGGCCCTACTACACCACTACTTCCAGGACAACCACACCAACGAGCCCAACGCTACACCCACCACTTCACTTCATCCTGTCCAAGGACGAGCCCTACGAGCTTCTGGTCGCGCTACATCTGGCTTCACCATCTTCAGCGGCTGCTGCTGGACCCAATGGAGTGGACTTTGTGAAAGATACCTACATTCCAATCTTTTCCAATAGGCCTGGAGACTACAAGGAATGGAGAAAGAGGATCCTGATGACAAAGAAGAAGTCCGACATCAACAAGAAGACAAAGGAGGCGACGATCAACCTGATGACAAGCCTCAGCGGCTTTGCGTGGCGCCAGATTGAGCATCCGGTTGACAAGGCCAGTGAAGCTGAGGATGGATTCAACCTGATCGGAGATGCCGAGAGCTTGTGAAAAGTTCTTCTACGGCGTTTGCCGGCGCGATGGTCAAACTTTGATCAACTACGTGGCGGAGCACAGGGAGTACCTGATGGAAGTGGCCCACGGTGTCAAAATCCCAGACAAAATGGCCGGATGGCGACTTTTACGACGAGCTGGACTGACAATGGAGCAGAAAAAGACATGGAGCAGACGGCTGTGACCGAAGCCCTTTACTTCCTCTTGGCCAGATTACAAGAGGGACGAGTTGCAGAAAGCCGCAACTGGCGCGGAAAGGGCTATGGAGCTACTTCCAGGTGGCCACGACAACAAGGCTATGCTGCGGAGGAGACCTATGAGATTGACGATGTAGAAGCCCCTGACGAGACCTATGGTGACTATGGCGAATGGGAAGAAGCTGGAGAGGAAGACTATGGAGAGACCGAGCTTGATGAAGCCTACTATATGCCGACTTCCCTGAGGAGGAGCCCGCCGATGAGTTCTACATGGAGGCCGAAAAACAATATGAAGATGCCTATTTGCGACGCACTTGGATGCACGCCCCTCGTGGATTCTACCCGGTGGTGGCCTTGGCTGATGCATCAATGCCGAGTTCTCCAACCTCTCAAGCCCCACGACCGCCAAAGTCCAAAGGAAAAGGAATGTTCAAGAAGGGCCGTGGCAAAAGCCCCTCCGCCTGGCAATCCAAAGGTGGAACGATTGTCGCTCGTGGACAAGCTGCCTCTTCAAAGATCTGTGAAGTGTGGCCGTGGGCGGGCCAACTGCCATCAGAACACTGCGAGATCAAGCCCTACATCCCGGCAGAGCCCTTCAACAGCGACATCCACATCACCTTCCAACAACCGAAGACTGACGGCAATGCGATGATGGTCCGGGACATGGCCAACATCAGCCAACCTGGTATTCCACCTTTAAGCCAACATGGTTGGTATGGGATCCGATGTGGAGGAGCTTCCTCGGTGGTGGTAGACCACACCACCTTGATGAACATCTTCGACTACATGAAGAAGCAATCAGTCCTCCCTGGCCGATATACCTCTTCATGCCAACCAACAAGACTTTTGGCTTTGGTGGTGACGCCTCTCGACAAGCTGATTGGTCTGTGAAGCTTCCGGTCTACATCAGCGGCAAGAGCGGCTACATGGAAACCTCTGTGGAGGGTGGCTCTACGCCTTTGCTGGTGGGACGCCCTATCCTCCAAGCCTTGAACGTCCAGATGAACTTCAATGATGGCATGATGTCCATCAAGGACGGGCCCTGGTTTGAGGTGCCATTGGGGGCGAAGGAGACTGGATGATGACGCCACCACAGATGACTCCTTGGCGGCCATCGACAACTATGAGGAGCAAGCTCTTCAAGCGCAAGAAGATGGTTATGAGTTATGAGACAGCCCCTGAAGAGATCCCAGCAGATGAGGGGTGAGCCCACGGCTTGTCGCCGAGGCATCACTGAGCTTCAACCAGTTCAGCAAGAACCGGAGACACCCCATAGAAAGTGCCCTGGCAGCACAAGGCCGACGAATCTTCTGGGAGGTTTTCGATGGCAGTGCCAATCTTTCTCAACAAATGGCTGCCGAAGGGTGGTTGGTCGAATGCTTTGAAATCGACACCCTCTGGAACTTTGAAGAAACCCAACACCGGCGTGACTTCCTTCACCTGCTGGATGTGACTTGCCCTGACTTTGTGTGGTTCGCTCCACCTTGCACGGTTTGGTCCCCTCTCCAACACTTGAACGTTGACACCCAGGAGAGGCAAGAAGTCCTTCAGGCTGACAGAAACTACCAGGAGACAACCTACTTGAAGATGACGAAACCGGGCGACCAAAAAAAACAACAACGAGAAGGACGACATGCTGGAGCAACCAAAGAATGCCCGATCTTGGGCCACCCAGACCTTTCGGTCTATGGACGGCTATGATGCCAACTTCGATCAATGCCAATATGGTGTGCCACTGCCTGATGAGAACTTTGAGGAGCAGTACATCAATAAGCCCACGAGACTGAGGTGCACTGATGAAACTATGGCCTTGGACCTTACTTGCACCTGTCAAGGGTGGCATTGGCAGTTGCCGATCGAGGGCAACTCGCCCGGCATTGGACCTCGAGCTCATGCATCTGGAGTCTACCAGGCAGAACTTTGCTACGCCTTCTGCCTGGCGATCCAACAGATCTTCGAGTACAAGGGCCACGAGTTCACCTTTGCCATTAAGGACGAGGCCAAAGAGGAGCTCACCTTGGATGAGATCGATGCTCAGATGAGCGAGGAGCCAGAGCATCCCCTGATGATCCTCCAGCCGCACCATCAGGTCAGGTGTTCTTTCTCGACTAAAAGATGAAGATATAGAAAGCCCGAAGGATGATCACTCGCCTCCATCGGAATCGGAACCTTGGACATCCCACCAAGAAGGAACTGATCCGCCTGCTCCAGAACAAGAAGGCCTCGAGGTCATAGCTCACTGCAGCGAGGGAGCATCAGCAGGAGTCCCACTGTCGCCAAGGAATTCCACTTTCAACCAACGTGTCCAAACTGACACTTTGTGGATTCAAGTTCCTGGACAACGGCAACAACAGCCTGTGCTCATGACCTCCGACAGCACCACCCGACTTCGTGGTGGCGAACGCATTGAGGAGTTCATCAAGCAACTTGAAAGAGCGTTGGGGCACTTTGGACCTATAAAAGTACTACCAGTTGACGAACATCGAGCATGGAGCTCCGATCAGATGCGGGAGTGGTGCACTGAACAAGGAATCCAACTCCAAGTGAGCCCTGGGCAAGCCCACGCCCACTTGGCCATCTTGGAAAGGCGACACCAAGTCACCAGACGTGCGGTTTCCCTGTTTCTTCAAGCAACGAGGCCTACAACCCTGCACCGTTTGGATCCGTCAGAACGACTCCTTGAGAAACTTCGTCTACAGCAAGAAGCTGCCAAAGCCACAGCTCAGGCAGACGGAGATCATCGTCTACGACGAGCCTTGCTGAGAAATGGGACAACAAGCCAAACTATGTTGGAGAGGGCCTGCCACAGTGATCATGCGAGAGCCTGGCATTGCAGGACCCAACAGCAATCTCTACTGGCTGGGATATGGGACAGTTCTTCTACGTGCTGCCCCTGAACATGTGAAGCCGGCCATCCAGGTCCGGGACATCACCGAGAAAGCCAAAGATGGACTCTGCCAAACAGGCGCTACAAAACATCAGAAACAGAGGAGTCTCCCAGTATGTGGATTTGGGCAAGAGCAACAAACGGCGATGTCATGAAGTGGAGACCGATGATGAGGAGGGTGAGGACGACAGAGACCAAGCACATGAACTTCCACCTGCACCTTCTGCTCAGGTCCCATCATTCTTTGGGTCATCTTCCCACTCACCCCCTTTGAGGCTGGAGATCTCCCTCTCTCACTCCTGGGGTTCAGTCTCCCAGGGACTCTTTGCGAGGGGGCATTCATTCCCAAAGGGATGTCTCCTTCTTCTCCTTTCCGGATCGCCTCCAAGATGTCTCTACTTGGGATTCCTGCCTCGATCAGAGCTCCAATCTCTTCTCGGGCGGCCCAAGCTCCTGCCGCATCACCTGTTGGGTTCTCCCAAGTTTGAAGGGTTTCTTTTCAGACCTCTTGTCTGGTTCCTCCCCCGTCCTCTTAGTAGACAATGACCTGTCCCGGCACCAGATGAACCAGAAGACTGATCCCTCCTGGAATGGAAACTCCCGGATCTTCCCGGGGAATCGTGGGCAGCCCAGGGTGGGTATATGGTTGGGACCTGTCTTGCTATACTCTCCCCCCCCGGCTGTGAAACTCAGACGGGGAGAAAGGGAGGCGCTTCAGAGCCAAAATGAACACGTTTCAACGTGGCGTTTCCGAACATTCACTGTAGTACTATTTAGCACCACCTGTGATGTTTGGCCAAAGGAATATTGGGGGAAACCATTCATCTACCATGAAGATGGGATGGGTCCAGCGCGGTTTGATGAGCGGCTCTTAAAGGAGGTTGTGAGACCCCCAAAGGATGTTGCTAGACCCCCAGGGTTGGAAGATTTTAAGGAGGCTGAGACCCCCAAGACCAGTGGTTTTCTCCGCAACCAGTGATGGGGTCGTCCCAACCACTCTGCCGGTCTTGGCGGAGAATACGACAAAGCATGCAGCTTTGAAGGCTGGAGATTGGCTAGCGCAGATCGAACCTCTGGTGTCTGACGTGTCAGCTCATGCAGGGTTCTGGTGGGAGAAGCTGCTGGAAGCGACAGAATGGCTGCAAGCTGCGGCGTTGCAGAGGCTCTACATCTCACCACCAGCGGATGCAGACATGCCTCGAAGTTTTGATCGACTTCGGCAACGTTGCTTCGGCTGCAATTCCAAGCCAAATCAAGGACCTCAATGAACGGTCAGAAACGTTGACGGCCTTGACAAGTACCACGGCGAGCACTTCGGCAAAGGAGAGCATGGAGGCGCTGAGGTTGTGGAAGCGCCACTACAACAGAGCCTTGGAGCTGGGAGCGTCCTTGCCTGATGCGACCTTGATGATTCGGGCCTTGGACAAGATGATGGAGTCTGTGTTGTCAAAGAATGCCCAAGCATGCAGAATGAGGTGGATGTCAATCCGCGTAATGAGGTGGTCAACAAGCTCTACGACGTCTTGCTGTCCGAAGCGGAGTTGATGATCACTGCTGGTCAGGAAAGCGGGCCTGCAATCAAACAGATGCAGGTGCGACCAAATGGCGAAGGTGAACAGCTAGCGTCGCCTGGGAAGACATTGGTGTGCAAATGGTGGGGATCCAACAATGGCTGGGCCGTGACAAGTCATGCAAGTTTCTGCATGATCCTGCGGCCCTGGACAACAAGTCGGCCAGATGCTGGCGGTGCTCCGCTACCACCCACACCAAGAAGGAGTGCCCTACTCGAGAAGGCCAACATCAGGAAAGAATGGTTGAAAGAAAGGAGGAAAAAGATGGCAAGAATGCCAAAAGCGAAAGCGAAGAAAAGAAGGACAAGGAGGCCGAGAAGGAAAAGCCAGCTGATGATCTTTGATGATGGCAAGAGTGAGGCCAGCAGCAGCGTGAAGACGTCCAGCACCAGAGATGACAGCTTGATCAACGAGGTCACCAACTTGCTCAAGAGCATGAGGATTTCCACAGATGGTGATCCAAGCGTGAAGGCGATGATCAAGCAGGTGGTTTACTCGAACGACCAGCATGACCGCAACTTGGTGGATGGTGGAGCCATTCACTGTCTTCGGCGTGCAACTTCAGAAGAATGGCAGGAAAGCTATGATGTTGTGGTGCACCTGGCGACGTGAAGTTGAGGCAACACCCCAAGAAGAAGACCATCTTCACCAAGGAAGCGTGTCAACCGATTGTGCCAGTGTCTCTCTTGGTGCAAGCGGGAGCTCAAGTGGTTTGGGATCGAGATGGTTGCGAAATCTCTCACCCAGTCCATGGCAAGTTGCAGGTCAAGATGGACCAAGGATGCCCAACTCTGGAGCGTGAGGTTGCTTTGAAGATCATGGCTGAGGTGGAGCAGATGATGATGCGCGGTAGAAGATGAGGAAAGGTTGAAGAAGCTTCACAGGTGAAGGAGGAGTTCCCACAGGTCCCTGATGCCATTCTTAGCCGAGTTCCAGGTATCACCAACTATGATGCCGAGCAGCTTCCACTCAACCGCAAGATGAGGAGAAGGGCGAAACGCGCTGAGAAGGCCATTCTTCACCTCTAGAAGTTTCATGATGAGAAGACCTATGTGGTGTACATAACGGTGACATGGTCAACGACCACCTGATGGGGCGGTTGGAGGAACTGGCCGACTCTGGCAAGACGGGGACGGTGATGTTCTTGATGGGGCCACCGTGCAGAACTGTCTCAGCTGCAAGACATGCAGATGATGGAGGTCCGAGGCCACTGAGGAGCAGAGTCGGAGAAGGGAGGTTTGGATTGCAGGGCATCAACAGCTTTGAGGAGAAGTTGGTGCAGGATGATGCAGTGCTGATGCTGCGAGGCCAATGGCTTGCAAGGAAGGCCAAACGGGCCAACAACTTGATGGAGTCCATGATGGAGCAACCGCGTGACCCAGCGGATCCGCAAAGATGCCAAGGACAAGGACTTCGCGTTTTTTTTGGCTTGGCCAGACACCAAGGAAACCATGAAGATTCTTGGCTGGGAAAAGGTCGATCTGGATCAAGTTGCAGTGGGTCATCCAGTCAAGAGGCCAACAACGTTGCTGACCGACATAGATGAGGTCAAACAGCTGTATGGTCTGGTCGATGATCGAATTCTACAACAAGATCGCCATGAACTTTCTCTCCAACAACGCATTGAGCAGTCGAGGAGTTGGGCTGCCTGGGCGGATGGCCTGAAGTGGGTTTTGAGAGTTGCGGCCAAGAGGCTCAAAGATACGCCGATGCCTGCAGTGAAAACGGTCAACCTGCCCAAGAAGGAGATTGAGCCTTGGAGGAGACACTTTGCAGCTGGCCACATCCCTTACAGGAAGGATTGTGGAGTCTGTGTTCAAGCAGCTGGCCGACGACGAGCAAGAAGGAAGGTGCTTCATCCTGAGGCATTTTGTTTGTCCATTGACACTGCAGGTCCTTTCTGCACTGGTCACAGATACGATCAGCCATGCCAAGTACTTCATGATTGGCACGGTCACCAGTCCAACGAAACGTGGAAGACCTATGGTTGAAGGCCTTGACCAACTGATCTCGAGGAGCCCTGGCAAAGATGCTCAATTGGAGAAGACCGAAGAGATCCTGATGTCCCTCTACGAGCAGCACAAGGAGAAGGAAGATCCAAACAAGGATCCACTCAAGTTGCTCGAGGAAGAGGAAGTTGAGAAGGATGAGAAAGAGGAGCCAGTTTAGGTGGCAGCACAGCCACAACAGGAGGAAGTTCCGAAGGAGCTGGAGGTGGTCATCGACGAGACCAAGGATTGGTCAACATGATGCTCACCATTGCAGCGCCGATAGCCAACCGCAACAGCAAGGTCGTGCTGGAAGCTCTCTCTTGGATCTACAGCAGATTCAAGTCGCTCCACATCCCAATCCAGAGATTCCACAGCGACAGAGCACGGGAGTTTGTCTCGAAGGAGGTAAAGAGATGGGTGGAGGCAAGAGATCCCAACCAGACGTTCACTGAGGGCGACTCTGGTGAAGCCAATGGACGAGCTGAGCAGGAGCTTGGAATTCTGAAGGCCTTGACACAGGCACAGCTCACAGCTTCGGGGGAGAAACAGTGCGGCATGCATCGGAGCTGAGGCATAGGCACCAGCTGAGACGCCTTGGAATCGAAGACACTGGCAACTTCATCTTCTCCACGGTAGTCCTGGTTCCAAAACCCAGGTCAAAGGATGCTTTTGAGCGAGTTCGCGCTGAGGTGGAAGATAAGCAGGATGCTTTCGAACAAGTACGAGCTGAAGTCGAAGCACGACAAGACCAAGGAGTCCGCGAGCTGGATGATTGCATTGCCAAGATGGAACAACAAGGGCAACTTGCACCACTTCCAGAAGCTCAACTTCTTGGACAAGGTCGGTCTCCAACCAGGAGGTGAGAAACAACTTTGAGGAGTGGCGAGAGCCAATTCAGAAGGAGCTCAACACGTTGCTGGCCATTGTCGGTGATCCAAGAGCATGGATCAACCTGCGGCAATTATGCTGTGACAGACCACATCACACAGGAAGAGAAGACAGCGTCAGGAGCAGACATTGTTTCACTGAAGATAATGGTGAGAGTTGCAGCCCACAGACAGTGGTCTTGCAGCTCCTTGGGCATCAAAGGAGCATTCCTACTGGCACCACGCCGCAAAAAGACGCTCACGGTACTCAACCCACCGAAGGTGAGGGACTCATGTGGCAAGTGGACAGAGCCGTATATGGCTTAGTTGAAAGTCCAGCGGACTGGGGAGTGTACCGTGACGAGGAGCTCCACCTGATGCGATGGCATGTTGGTGATGTTGTCTACAAGGTGAAGATGACCCAGGAGGCCAACATCTGGAAGATTCTTCGAGAAGGTGACGATGATGAAGTTCCTCAAGGATACTTGGCCAACTACGTCAATGACATGTTGATGGTAGGACCGGACCCAAATCTTGCACGGCCTCATGGACGCAAAACAGCGCCAAATGGGAGCGTTCTTCAAAGGAGTTTGCAGAGGAAGGAAAAGATCTGAGGCTCTGCGGGATGGAAATTAAGAAGACGGAGAAAGGCTTCGATCTGCACCAGTTTGCCTATGTGCTGGACATGTTGGATCATGTTGGGACGCCAAGGAGTCACAGGAAAAGCTGACTTTCCGAAGGGCAAGGTAGAAGACTTGGATGATGAGGAGGTGCAAAAGATCGACCTCGCCAAGTTGAAGGAAGCCCAACAGCTGTCACGTGAACTCATCTGGGCTGCAACCCGCACAAGGGTGGATGTAGCATACGCAGTGGGTGCAATGGCCGGACGGCTGCACAAGGACCCTGAAAGAGCTCTGAAGATAGGACATCAAGTCCTGGACTACCTCAACAAGTTCCCAACGCTTGGGGTCAGCTACTCTCTATGCATCACCACCGAGCTGGATGAAAGTCAGGTGCCACAGACCTTGGATACCATTGAGGTCTTTGCTGATGTCTCCTACGCCCCTAGGTCAGAGTCATACAAGTCAGGGCAAGGGATTGTCACAACCCTTGGTGGTCAAACCATCCAGTGGCACACAGGAAAACACACTCTCATAGCCACATCCACGGCGGAGGGCGAGTTGCTGTCCTACCAAGAGGCTCAGGTGATGGGGGCTGGAGTGGAAGCCTTGATGTTTGAGATGGGCTTCAATCCCAAGGTCATCATGTACAGTGACAACAAGGCCGCGATCTCTTTGGCAGCCTTGGAAACGCGACGCTTGAGGATTAGGGCTGGAAAACTGAGACAGACCCGGAAGACCCCAATGGCAACTGAGACACATGCCAGGAACTGACAGAGCTGGCTGCAGACGGCCTCACGAAACCACTTGGCCGACAAGCCTTCATGGACTTTGTGACGAAGACGGAGATAGCTGAGGAGAAGAGAACTGTTTTGGAGCACCTCCAAGTCAGCAAGGTTGTCAGCATCGAAAAGAACTTGCTCTGCGACCTTTGAGGACGAGATCTACTACAAGCAGATGACATGCCTGGCAGAAGTTGGAACCCTATTGCTACTGGCTGGGGAACAAACTTAGCAGCAGTTTTGCTGCTGGTGTTGAAGTGCTGCCAACAGTTCCGAGGTGAGAGATGCCTACCGGTTCACCAGTCCCACTTCCAAAGGTGGAGTTCACTCCAACTTCAAACCAACCAACTGTGAATATGAAGGCTATGAGGGTGAGACGATGTGCTCAACGAGGCTTGGCGGACATCAGCTACAACGTGATGGTTCTGGTGGAGGAGCGGCCGAGAGGTCAGGACACATGGTTGCCAGCTCAGCCAGAAAGATAGCTGATCAGGATGCATGGCAAACACCGCCAAGGTTGCTTCCACCCTCTTCACAGGTCATGCCCGGTGGATTCTACGAAGCTGGAATCTGTGCGCTTCACGGTGATCTTTCATGGAGAAGGTCTTAGCAACAGAACGATCCTGCATGATGAGTGGGATTCGACACCGGAGCGCATTGACTATGGCGAGTGGAAGGGCTATACGATCTTCAAGATCAAGGAGGATGAGGAGCCAACTACGATGGATCGTGCAGGCTATGGTGGAAGAGATCCAGGTGAGTCGACAGCGACCATTCGTGGCCATGATGCTCTACATCCTCCACAACAACTAATGGTGAGAACACCAACAGGTCTACAACGAGCCACACCGGAGCTGCAGATGATTGGTCGTCGCCAACCACGTCCTGCCGAAGCTCTACAAGGTCCAGTTTTCCTCCTCAAACTGCGAGAGGTCAGCGAGGTGGTCGAGACCCTGTTCTTGCTGAGGCTTCTGGACAAGTTCGAGGTTCTGGTCATGCCAGAGGTTCTGCAGAAGTTCCAGGCGATGCTCATGCCAGAGATTCTGGGCAACTTCAAGGTTCTGAAGCCGCAAAGAAGCTCTTGGATCTGGCTTTGCGGATGGTCTTCTGATGTCTGATGACTATGTGGCAGAAGAAGATGACAGCTTTGAGCTGGTGACATCACCGTCACCACCACGGCTCAGGTCTTTCAGGCTATGTCAGAATGTGGAGGTGGAGAGCTCTGTGGAAAGTGAAGATGGATCGCAGTCACCTACACCAGGGACAAGGTCAATGTTGCCGTCTTCGCCTTCAAGCTCTTCATCTACCGAGCTGAAGTTGGATCCTGAAGCAGCTGATTCGATTGACCCACCTCGAGGACAACGTGGTGTCTGGGATGAGTATGTCCAGGCAACGCCAAAGACAAGGTCGATTGGAACTCAGGTTGGAGCTTCAACAAGGTCGCCTCCGAGAGGAAACTCATGGGCTGCTGCTACATTGGAGGAGGTTCACATCCTGAGGCAAGAGAATCGGATGCTTCAGCAGAATCTGGAGCCAGGAGTGCTGGGAGAACAATTCCCATCGGCTGTGCAGTTGACAGAAGCTGCAATGGGCTGGCGGCATCACTACCGCACAGAGCCGATTTTGAGGCTTGAAGGTGAGACGCTGGATCGACCTGGAATGAGGCCAGCAAAGACTGCGCCACCGGAAGCGCCTGTGAAGGATTTGCCACCACGTTTTCAGTGTCTTCTCTCCTGTAGCACTTAGGACCAGTGGGGTGCCGGTGTCAGCAGTGGATTTCATGCCTCCTCCCAGGCCGAGACCATATGTGCCAAAACAAGCACCAACGCCAAAACCAAAACCAGCTGCACCGGTACCGCCATGCGTTTGGCTAGGTGACAACATCTACCAAGGTTTGGGCCTTGAGCTGAGGCTTGCTCCAAAGGAGCTATGGAATTTTAGCTCTTCGGTGAGCTTTCCACTTGTAGGTGAGACATGCGAAAGGGGGAGTCATTGCACATTTGAGAAGTGCGTGGCCCCTGCGCAAGGGATGACAGATGCCTTGCAAATACATAGCAGTTGAAGCTTGCATGATGTGCCTTGACCATGATCCTGCAGCTGCTCCGCTGACAAATCCAAACCATCGGAAACCCGTTGGGAAACCTTTGAGATTTGAATGAGCCCCACGATTTTGGACATTTTAGGACTCCAAGCGAAAGCGGCGTACCTCAAAGCTCCAGCGGCTAAGAATGTGAGCACTCCAAACCTCTGAATCTCCCGGTTGCGATAGGATGCGGCGCAGCAAAACTGGGCTGAGCCGCTGACAAAAAAATGATGCCTATGGCAGCTAAGCCTTCCTTGTTCATCCAGTAGTTGAATCGATATCTCAGCTTCTGGATAAGGATTCAAATTGATTCAAACTTTCATAAATCTTCATGCATTTCGTAATCTTCGCACCCAAGGTGTGACATGGTGACCCACACGATGCTGGCGAGCTTCTGAGATCATCAAGCTCCAAGAACTTGGCGTCTGGAACAATTGAAAGGAGCACCCCAAAACGGAGCAAAAACTCCACATGGAAATCTGCTTTGACATGTTCACCCAACTTTTCGAAAGTTTGTTGCGGTGCCTCCAAATTGTCCAATGCGAACTTTTCATGCTCAGTGCACGGCAAGCTGACAGCGGACAGGTAAGCTGACCATTCAGCTGGTCATTGACCGGTTTCGACCCAGGCACAGCCATAAGGCCAAGCCAGATGCAAGGACGCCGTATCCTGAGAGAAACTTCATTGGTGATTTCTGCGCATCCAAATTGGGCTACAAACCAAAAAACCTGACCAATGCTGCCCAAAAGTATCAAGAGTTGCAGATTTTACAGTTTAAGCCACGCATAGGTCCAAATGCCCAGCTTTCTGACTACCCAGAGGGATTTTGATGTCACATGTTAAAAACTAGCAAGCTTCCAATAATGGTTCGCACAGCTCGCCACAGCTGTTTCAGCACCACTGCCTTTCGAGCCCAGTGGAAAGTCACGTTGAGCCAGTGGTTTGGAGTGGTCGTGGATCATCCCGAAGGTGGAAGTGTCAGAAAATTATGGAAATTCCACTTCTGGTGAAATACATGTTGAATCCTATTCATATAATCCCAAATCTGGTAAACTCCATGGTGCACGGCAGTCTTCCAACCAGCAGTTTTGCGAAATGAAACTTCAACCATCTCCCCACAGGTTTTGGTCCAACACGACTTTGTATTTGTTGACAAGAGACTCCCACAGCACAAAGTTTGGATCGACCTTCTCGACGCAATCGCAATCACGGGGTTTTGGGGCCCAATGCCGCGGATCAATGATCACAACTTGAGAATTACACCTTCAAGTGAAAAATTGTCTTTTTGAACCAAATGTTCAAATCCTCAATACAGTGCAGTTCTTGTTTTGATGAGCATTCTCCCAATTTTTGAGTAACAATTCTAGAGTTGTAAGACCCACTCGTCAAAACCAATGTCCAAGTTCATCACCTTGGGTTTTTTGGAGGGGCCATCCAAAAAGTATCATCAAACCATCATTGGCTCCATTTTCCATGGCAAAATCAGCCTTTTGCTGCGTTGGATTTTTCCCTCTTCTCAGGTTTGCTCAAAATGGAGACTTCGCCTCAAAGAAAAAGGAAATTGTTGAAGTCAAAATGGGCATTGATGCGGGCAAAAAGTGCAGCACACCCATACAAAACAATCTTGCAAATGGCATGGGCACACACACGCTCTCGGAAGTGCAACGTCAAAAAGCACATGGAAACCGCAGCCCGGTCACACAAAACAAACATGCATAATTAGGCACAAAAAAGCACATGGAAACCCCAGCCCGGTCCAAAACAAACATGCATAGGCACATACACACCCCGAGACGGAAGTGCGACGTCAAAAAGCACATGGAAACCGCAGCCCGGTCACACAAAACAAACATGCATCGGCACATACACACCCCGAGACGGAAGTGCGACGTCAAAAAGCCCATGGAAACCGCAGCCTGGTCACACAAAACAAACATGCATAGTTATATACACACCCCGAGACGGAAGTGCGACGTCAAAAAAGCACATGGAAACCGCAGCCCGGTCACACAAAACAAACATGCATAGGCACATACACACCCCGAGACGGAAGTGCGACGTCAAAAAGTACATGGAAACCGCAGCCTGGTCACACAAAACATGCATAGTTATATACACACCCCGAGACGGAAATGCGACGTCAAAGAAGAGGTGGAAACCGCAGCCCGGTCACACAAAACAAACATGCATAGGCACATACACACCCCGAAACGGAAGTGCGACGCCAAAAAGCTCATGGAAACCGCAGCCCCGTCACACAAAACAAACATGCATACGCACATACACACCCCGAGACGGAAGTGCGACGTCAAAAAGCACATGGAAACCCCAGCCCGGTCACACAAAACAAACGTGCATAGGCACATACACACCCCGAGACGGAAGTGCGACGTCAAAAAGCACATGGAAACCGCAGCCCGGTCACACAAGACAAACATGCATAGGCACATACACACCCCGAGACGGAAGTGCGACGTCAAAAAGCCCATGGAAACCGCAGCCCGGTCACACAAAACAAACATGCATCGGCACATACACACCCCGAGACGGAAGCGCGACGTCAAAAAGCACATGGAAACCCCAGCCTGGTCACACAAAACAAACATGCATAGGCACATACACACCCCGAGACGGAAGTGCGACGTCAAAAAGCACATGGAAACCGCAGCCCGGTCAAACAAAACAAACATGCATAGGCACATACACACCCCGAGACGGAAGTGCGACGTCAAAAAGCACATGGAAACCGCAGCCCGGTCACACAAAACAAACATGCATAGGCACATATACACCCCGAGACGGAAGTGCAACGTCAAAAAGCACATGGAAACCGCAGCCCGGTCGAACAAAACAAGCATGCATAGGCACATACACGCCCCGAGATGGAAGTGAGCGATACGCAAATTACAACTCAGCTGTGGCAAAATGATACCCTTTAGCTAGCGGTAGTGAAGTGTTGACGGTTTTTGTTCACATACAGGTTCTGGGTTTCGAGCAATGATTTTCCATTGAACCTGAGATGTTCAAAACGGTAGCGAGACAGACCCATATTCACTGCTGCGCCTGTTGCACCTTTCGAGTTTGTGTGTTGGCTGTGCGAGGGCATCATGTCTCAGGGGACAAGCAGGGAAACACAGAAGCAGGTATCGAAATTGGCGGGTACTAAGCCCCTGGCTGAAAGCGGTGGCGCTTAATGGTGGCCGCGGCCCATGAAGTCGTGGGTCTGGTCTTTGGGTCTGTGGCCAACACTGCTACGACCAAAAAGCGCCAAGGAGACCCATCTAAATCTGGGTCTCGCTTTATGGGGCAAGTCAGGATTTTGTTTCGCATCTCGTTCAGCGTGATCCCGTTCTGTTGCTCGAGCGCTGAACGCCCCCGGAAGGGATACGATCCGCAAATTAGCTCGTGCGAGCAGACTCCCGCTGCCCACACGTCAGCCTTACGGCCGTCGTAGCCGATGCGTGGGAGCAGGTGAACTTCTGGAGCCCAACATTTGAAGCACCCAACGCGGTCGAAGAAGGGGCCCAACACTTGACTGGCGCAGCCAAAGTCGGACAATTTCAAATGGCCCGACGAATTGAGCAAAAGGTTCTCCACCTTCAAGTCCCGATGCACAACGCCCTTCTGATGTATGTAAGCCAAACCACTAAAGAGGTCCGCAAGCTGATTCTTGACGGGCTGGGTGGAGCAATTCCAGTGCCAAGGCGCCCGGAACCTCATGCAACAGTTCAACTACGAACTTGCTTTGGCACAATCGCAGCATTTTTGCTTCATGGGCGGTTGTGCCGGAGCGCGCTCGCTTGACAGCGACATCCCGCTCGCCAAGGCGTCCGAAGAAAACAGCGCCCTCCGCTCCGGATCCAATCATTTTGTCATGATACACTTGCAAAGAGGTGTTGGTTGCATGTGATCGTGGTGCCTCAGGTTCCTTTGGTTCTTCCTTACCCTCACCGGACAAAGCTGCAATGCTTTACAAGCATCACACACTGCATTAATTTTTGCACATGTTTACACGATTGTCCCCCGAACATTTGGAAGGCGTGCGCAAAATATTGCACAGAATGTTGCGTTGTACACAGATCGAAACACACTTCCACAACATGTGCAACATGTCATGGAAGGCGACAAAAACAAAATCCCTACTGCGTTTGTTTCAGCTTGTTGTGTTGCAAAACTGCCCGTTTAACACTTCCACAACACGTCATGGAAGGCGTGCGCAAAAAATATTGCACAGAATGTTGCGCTGTACACTGATCGGAACACACTTCCACAACATACAACACCAGCTATGTGCGGCTCTACCACATGACATAGCTGGCCTCTGCAGTTTCTTGGACCTCTCTGGATTCCGAGCTGTCGCTGCCGCCAGAGAGAAATAGAACTGCAGAAGTCTGATTTTGCAGGGGTTCACATACAGTTTGATCCCCTGGAAGTTAGCTGAACTCCTGTGTAGCAACTCCTTTGTAACAATTTCTGTGCAAATGACCTTGCGGGCAGGAGTTCAAGTAGAAGTGGATCACCTGCAAGTCAACTCCTGTGTACATGACATTTTTCAAGTTTTGTAGGAGTTCCCTAGAAGTTGATCACCGGTAGCTGATGTAGGTGATGTTGTCTATGTTGTAGATGATGAGGATGATGTTGTAAGTGATGTAAGGTTAGATAG